CAATTTAATTTTACGAAACGGTGGTATGTACTGTAGGTTTCCGAGATAATACAAGAACGTTTTGAAGGTCCTCCCGCAAAAATGGCATATCGTCTGTTATTATTAAGATGATATGTCCATTTACATATTTACGTGCAGTGTTAAGGAATGGGGAAACGTTAAATAAAGCCTGCAATGACAATTGCTCCTTTATACATAAATCTGTAACGTCTAGTCTTGCCATATCCGACATGTACGATCAAAACACAAAGTAAATAAAAGCAATATTCAAATGAGATTCGCCACACTTTGCAACTAGTTGTTGAGATATGTCGGCCCGTCCGTACATATTTTAATTTTATATACGTTTCGTGTAGTCTTTCGACTCTACACCACCCTCAAGTGTGCTTTTCATATGAATATTGAATATAATGTCAATGCTTAACTAAGAAATCAAAAGTAAAATGTTTGTCGTAAGAATGCGTGACAATCGTGGATTTCGTTAAGAAACAAATTTTCCTCTAATAATCAATCGATATACATTTCTTATCGTTATCATTATTAATCCTAGACGTTTCATTACAAGTTAACAGATTTAAGAATAAAAATTGTAACGTCTTACATTAGCAATCAGTTATTAACTAAGACAGCAACCATTTGGTTGTTTTTCTGTACATAATATTTTTTTTTTTTTAATTTACTTGCATGTTAAGACTCAAGTGATCAATCTTGTTATTTAATGTCTTATCAAAGTTAGGATTTAAAAATGTAATCTCATCTTAGTTATCATAAAATTAAACATTTCGTATTATGAAGTTACAAACTCATATAAAACAAATATAAATTAAATTCAAATCAAATATGGTAGTGTATGTTAAACAGTTATTCTAAATTCTATGCATAATTATAGCGGGTTGTACTCAGTAAATTTCGTGATATTGGTACTCAATAATCTCATGTTTATATAATATACACTCAAAGTATACTTTCATTCCTTCGAAACTTATACATAAATAAATGATCGTTTATGTATTTCAATTAATCCTAAGTTATTCAATTATTGTGTTTATAATTTGTTACATTATACAATTTCTTTTTTTGGCCTTATTGATCAACTGTCTTAATTTCTGAATATGTGTAATATTCTTTCGTTCATCTGTGGCTCTCATGAAACATGGTTTAAGTCTATTGTAATTAAATACATCACGTAATACTTCGCCTTTAAGTGCTGCTAGAATATAGTGTGTTCTATCTAATACTTGATGTACAGCTAAAGGTCCAACCCATTCTGCTGATATTTTCTTTGAGTTGGCAGTCAAAGAAGATGATGTAGGCTTGTAAAAATACACTAATTGTCCTACAGAATAATTTGTTAGTGAACTAGCTGCGTCTGTAATAAGACGAGATGGGGGTCCAAATATGGTAATAACTTTCTGTATTAAATGTTTCACAAATTGTCTCTGCATCAAGTGATTTTAAAGGTACACAGATTAAAAATCGTGTAATTTCATCACATACTACCATAATGTGTTTGAATTCTGATGATGAAGTTGGCATACTCTTAAAATCTAGACTGAGACTATCGAATGGTCGATAAGAATCAGGTACTCTGTCATGTAGTGGTCAAAGTTTGTCTGTTTTTGGTTTAAGTTGCTGACATATAAGGCAAGCTTTAACATAATTACTAATACGTTCAAACATATGAGGCATATAGATATAATAGGCATATATATAAGTCGACGGATTGTTAAGTATGTTCGCATTGTACCTTGGTGGTTACTTAACAAATTATCATGGAATTGAGATATGATAGTTTCGGCAAGTGTTTCTGGTATTGCTAATTGTAATATGAAATCATCACCTTCATGACAAAATTCTTCCCCTTAGAAGAAACTGTCACTAGTGGGTTAGATGATTGATTGCTAATTGCCTTCACAATGAGCAAACAAGACCTTGGTAGTAGGAGAAAATTGTACCCGATTCACACATGAAGTTAAATTTAACAAAAAGTAACAAATTGTAACCGAGCGATCTCCCGAGTTATTCCTACCGAGATAAAAAGCATTCACACGCGTCTGTAAGGTAATGCCAAGGTCGTGTAAAATTTATTCAGTGTTTATTCAATGAATCATTTTTTCCCCTGCTGCGATATAGGTCTAGCTTAGGCCTAGTTGAGAACCTCTGTCACAGATGGACTGTTGAACTCACCATCACAGTAAACATTCGATGCAATCAATGCCCTTAACAACTGCTGTACTACTACTACTAAACTAAACATAGCTTCTAATGTTTCTGTCGACTCTTGATAATACTAGTAATAGTACTAACACCATCCCAACGTTCATTTTATGTATATCTTCTTCTTCTACCATTACTAATTAACATCAATAGCAAGGGTAATTCATTCATCATTGAGAAAAACTAGGCCTATCTATTTCTAGTGGATCAGAATCGTCTGCAGAAGGAAGAAAATTCAAAGAACCCCGTGAAGCACAGTAGATTGTTGTTGTGTTGAAATCCCTGCGCATGCGCAGATCCATCCATGCTACATCTCGGAAGCTTTACCAGCCTCAGCGAGGCTGGAAAAGATTACCGAGGCCTCAGCGAGGCTGGTAAAGATTACCGAGACGTTCCGAGATTTTACAAGGATATTACACGGAGGTACTTTCACACGTGCCGTAAAATGTTACTTTTGGTTACATTTTGTTACATTTGGTAAGATTTTTGTACGTGTGAATCGGGTATTGGGCACAGTTCAGCCAGTACTGCTCCAATCATGGTCAAATTTCAGAAAGTATACACAATTCTGAATCTAATGTTATTATTTAAAACATAAAATGTTTTAAACCAAAATCCGACCATAATGAAAAAAGACAGTAGCTGTACGTCTGTGGATTTACTTTACTTTTTTTACGAATTTCGCGGACATAAAACCGTGACTTGGCGATCGGGAGAATACTAGCCAGAAAGATGCATCAATATTTTATTAGTTCTCAAAAAACAAAGATGGTAATTTTGGTCATTTTCAATACGCATATGTATTGAAAATGACATGGTGTATTGGTGTTTATGCTGGCCTAAATAAATATAAGAATATGATTCTTTCTAGCCTATTCTATTTATTTTATGATCGTGTGGCGTACAGCAATGTTTACTCACATTCCCGGCTATCCAGGGGCTATTCTGCACCTTACAGCTGATGTATTTCAATCTAGGCTCAGAGAGTAGTAAATCTCTATTTTATAGGGCCTCCGAATCGAGCGATGAATATTTAGTTGAAAGTTAGAATTTAGGAACAGAGAATAAATCGTCATGTTTTAAAATCAAATGCTAAATTGATTTTATAACTAATATTCTGTATCTTCGTTGCATACGATATATAGACAATTACTAGCTCTCACGGCCAGTGCACAACGTCACGAACGAACGAGAAGCCTATGTGCTTTAGTCGTGGGCAATTTAGAACCGTCCATGTTGCGGCAGGGTATTCATTTTGTATTATGACTATAAATACACATGCCTAAACATTACCACATTTAAACATGTGTATTAACCGATATAATAAACATGTTTAAATATTATATTAATATTCAAACATGTGTACTAACCGCTATAATACACATGTTTAAATACTATTATAATAATCTTCACCGGGCACACAATGGTTCGGTCTTGGGATGCCAGGGTAGGCGCTTTAGTTCAATCTTATTATACCTGATTCACACGTGAAGTTAAATTTAACAAAAAGTAACAAATTGTAACCGAGCGATCTCCCGAGTTATTCCTACCGAGATATAAAGCATTCACACGCGTCTGTAAGGTAATGCCAAGGTTGTGTAAAATTTATTAAGTGTTTATTCAATGAACCATTTTTTCCCTACTGCGATATAGGTCTACCCGGTGGGAAAAAAGTCGACGTTTTCGACGTCGAAACGACCGTGTATCGACGGCACCTTGTGATACAATGGTTTCAGTACAGTTTTGTTGCTAGGGACATTATCTTCACACCTCAAATGTTACAGGAAATAAACCAAATGGCACACAAATGACATTTGTCAACGGTGGAAATGATGGTGTAAACACATCACTCATAATCGCAGTCTCTGCGACAGCATTTTTAGCATCTGTCGTCCTGGTTATCGTATTAGTGGGACTATACAGACGACGGAAAAGGTTCGTTGAAACATAATGTATATTATATAAAGTGTATACTGAAAAATATTAATCATTCCTCTCACTTCTGCAGTGGGAAATGGGCGAGTGGGCTTCCGCCAACTGATCTATAAAAAAACCCTACAAACTCATTACGTTATTTCCTCGTGAATAGGCATAGGGCTTTACTTCCTTATATTATATTCAGCACATGCCTATATACAGGCCTATATATAAATAAATTGACTATAATGTAGATGATGATGCAATTTTGATGCTTATAGTAATATATTGAGAGTGTAGTTGAACATAATAATTAAATTTTGTTTGTTAAAAAAATGCCTTCATCATGCTGACTTGCTAACACGAGTAATTATGTCACCGTGCCGTGTCAGCACCCAAAAATGTCCCTATTGAAAAACGTGACATTCAGTCAGACTCTCTGCCACCCGTCACCTTTCATCAAAAGGTGATTTATGATGAAATAAACGTACTGTACATTCAGTCCCAGATCTGTCTCTTATACACATCTAGATGTGTATAAGAGACAGATTTTAAAGGTATCGTTTTATTATCATCGAGATCATTATCGTTAGTTTACCACCGGCCACCACCATCATTATAGTCATTATCATCATATTATCATCTTATTATTATTATTATTATTATTATTATTATTATTATTATTATTATTATTATTATTATTATTATTATTATTTTAATTAATTAATTATTACTATTATTATTTTAATTAAATATTATTATTATTATTATTATCCATAGCTTCTGAATACCGCGCCCTTCTATTGTACTACGGCTGTCTCTTATACACATCTTAAGACTGGGTATTATTTATTTATTGAACTTAAATGCATTCGTCTTGTAGATTCACAAAGGAGAGAACCATTCTTTTTGGACTGTGGTTTGGAAAAGAGAAGCCACAGTTAACGTCATTTTTAAGGCCAATCGTGAATACATGGAATGACTTACAAGAAAAGGGTAAGATAATGATATATAATAAATTACAAATTAGCGTAAAAAACTATTATTTCTTTACCATCATCATCAATTCCTTCTGATTTTATTATTTTTTTTTAATTTTCCTTTTGGTATACTACGAAATAAATAACACAAATATTTCTTATTTAGGTGTTGATGTGAATTTTGGCTCTTCAAGAATAAAAATGAAAGTGAAGATTCTTGCCGCAACTATGGATTTGCCTGCTATGAGCATGCTGAAGGAAGTAAAGCAATTTAACGGTGAATATGGATGTGGTATTTGTGAAGAAAAGGGGGTGCGAACAAAGAAGGGAAAGGGAACCGTCAACGCTTACGTATATCGTTCCCCATCCAAACAGGCTCCATTAAGAACAGCAGAACGGATGAAACAACACGCCAGTCAAGCCAAAGTACTTGGGAAACCGGTAGGCTCAATGAAGATTTGAATGATGCTCGCATCAAGTGCTTTATCTTAAGAAATGAACATTCCTCAGTTATCAATAATAATAATAATAATAATAATAATAATAATAATAATAATAATAATAATAGTTGTAATGAATAATTAATTGTTATATGTAATCACAAGTATCAGACCTACACTTGCAAAAACAGAACTGTTTTTCCCCCTTTTTTTTAAATTTTAAAATAGTCCTAATTTTCTCCATGTACATAAGTCTTAAACGAGACACAGGTATAACTGTATTATTTGGATGTTCATTTCTAAACAGGTATTTGGCGTTAAACGGCGCTCAATGGTGTCGTTCGTTAAGGGTTTTAATTATGCCTCCGATGTAATGGTGGACTACCTCCACGGGATATGCATCGGGGTAACGAAGGCGCTGCTTAAACTTTGGTTGACTAATAAGAAGCAACCATATTACATCGGAGACAAACTTGATATGGTTGATGAGCGACTAGCAAACATAAAACCGCCAGATAATGTAACCAGAAACCCACGGTCGTTAGCTAATGAGCTGTCCGATTTTAAAGGTATCGTTTTATTATCATCGAGATCATTATCGTTAGTTTACCACCGGCCACCACCATCATTATAGTCATTATCATCATATTATCATCTTATTATTATTATTATTATTATTATTATTATTATTATTATTATTATTATTATTATTATTATTATTATTATTTTAATTAATTAATTATTACTATTATTATTTTAATTAAATATTATTATTATTATTATTATCCATAGCTTCTGAATACCGCGCCCTTCTATTGTACTACGGTCTGGTAGCATTTAGAGGGGTACTGCCTGAGAAATATTTCGAACATTTCGCCATGCTGTCGACGGCTATATACCTCCTACTTACAGATGAAGTCACCGCAGAAAACCGTAGAACAGCACAGGATTTATTAACCAGATTCCATATGCTGTATGTCGAATATTACGGTAGGACTGATTGTTACCGTTACATTGAGAAATGTACACTCTCATACTACTAGTACTACTACTACTACTGATGATGATGATAATGATGATGATTATATTGATAACATATTGCATTACTGACGTTTCATATGAATTTTACTTATTCATTTATTCTACTATAAAGGAGCAGAGAATTGCACTATTAACCTGCATAATGCATGTGCACATATTGTGAAGTGTGTGGAGTTGGCTGGACCGCTGTGGGCTTTTGGATGTTTCAACTTCGAAAGCAACTGTGGTACAATGGCAAGATTTGTTCATGGAACCCGATATGTTGGAATGCAGGTAATTATTTTATTTTAATAATTATCAGACCTTTTTAAAAATGTCGTAAAATTATAACGTGATATTATACAAAAGCATAACTCTATGATTCAGATTGTAAATGGCTACCACATGCTGCAGAGGATCCATTCAATTGGTGAGGTAATTCGCAGTCAACCGGTTCGTGACGTAATAATGCGTGTGCAAAACAAGAGACAAAGGTGTGTAACAGAACATTATTATTCATTACATTGTAGTTGCCACAAGACAAAGTTACACTATGACGACTTAATTAAACATCTATAACTCAATATTCGGCTTTTTAATTGCGAATAGAATGTATTAAACTGTATTCTCTTTATTTATACCAGTTGTTTTATTTTTCCTAATTAACTTTATCCATCCTGTTAAGGCCTTTGTGGTTTTCAAATTCATTAACACAGCATCGTACCGTGATTGGGAAAAAACATATTAAGCCAAAAGTATAGTTTTACGGTAGGGCTTCTTTTTTTTTTTTTATGAAAATTAAGTCTATTGTTTGTTTTGTGTAAGCGCACTAAAACAAACAACAGAAAACAGCAAATTCCCTTAGACATTAAAAAATGATGTTCAATTGCTATTCGGGTTTAATTGAGAATGATTTAATAACGAATGCAACTTTTAGCAAATAGTTTCTGGTTTTAATTTTTTATTACCCTTAACATGTATAGCTGTCTCTTATACACATCTAGATGTGTATAAGAGACAGTTATATGTACTGTATTCAAAATCTTCGTAATGTTTCGACGTACATTATCTCATCATCAGGAATGAAAAATTTAATTATGCCACTTCTTTATTTTCACGTATAGTATATTGGATGCCTCAAAATTTTGTACATGATCAAAGACTCTCAGATCGTGACAATAACAATGGCACAGTTATTTGATTACGTAATTAGCAAAACTTTCACAAAAGCGGGGTACAGAAACCACATATTAAGCCAAAAGTATAGTTTTACGGTAGGGCTTCTTTTTTTTTTTTTTTTATGAAAATTAAGTCTATTGTTTGTTTTGTGTAAGCGCACTAAAACAAACAACAGAAAACAGCAAATTCCCTTAGACATTAAAAAATGATGTTCAATTGCTATTCGGGTTTAATTGAGAATGATTTAATAACGAATGCAACTTTTAGCAAATAGTTTCTGGTTTTAATTTTTTTTAAATAATATCTTATAACAAACTGAAGAAATGAGCAGTGTCCTGAACTGGGGAAGCTAAAACGTTTAAACAACGAGAGCTACGAGTGCAAAGCCATCGCAGACTTATTCCAATGCAGGGATGCTGTGGTGCATTCCTTTTCTCGATTGGTGAGATGCAGAGAAATACTGATTTCTGAGGACTGGAAACGTCAAAAAACCAAAAACTCAACTGTCATTTCTTACTTCTTAAACGGAACTCAACAGTATGGTTGTATTAGCCGGTTTCTTCGTGTCACTACAGACACGAATACTTTCAACGTAGCTAGCATCACACCAAGCGAAGTGACTGAAGAAAATGCCTTTTCAAACGACGGCCAGATTGGGAAACACACAAAGAAAATAAAATTTATCAGGTAGTGTACCTTAACTTAAGTACAGTATTTGTCTTTAAAAAAAAAATGCGCTTAAAAATGGAACGACGTTTCGACTCCAACTTGAAGTCATTCAAGTGAAATACGTACATAGTTTAAACGTAAATTAAACTCAGAGGTCAAAGTTTATAACGTGCATGCGTCCTTGTCAATATACACCAAATAGCTTAGCTTTGACAGCATTATTATATATTCAGACTTGGTCTTAGTTATCTGATAAACATCATACCATCATAGACAGTCAAATTTGTTTTACATTTCTTAAGTTCGAAAACATGAATTTGTTTTTGCAGATCGAAGAAACACATTATCAAAATAGAGGACATCGGAAGAAGGATGGTCGTTGTCAGCGAAGGGTATGATGAAGGCACAATAATCCCAGTTGTAAATAGTACTGACCACGATTGAGAAAACGTCAAGAAGACAATGGTGAAGAAGACAATCGTGTCGAAGACCAGTGATGAAGGCGATGCTTCTATTCAAAACAAACTGCTCTTTTCAGAGCATCCAAATTACGAAAGAGATAATGGATTATGCAGACACACTCACATTTAATTCATTCATTCATTTATATCAGTTATTATTTTATTTCGCCTGATTACTATATCCCTGTTTATAGGGTTTTCAAATTCATTAACACATTAGGCCAAAAGTATAGTTTTGAGATGTTGAGTAAAGGGCGTTTTTTGCTAAGCTTTTGTTATGGAAATGAAGTCTATTGATTGTATTGTGTAAAAGCACTACACAATTAGAAAACAAATTCGGGCCTATGGAAAGACAATAGCAATTAAGCATGAAAAACTATGCAGTGCATTAAAACGCATACATTACACTACAGTTCTAAATAAAATAAAAGTGATTTAAAAATTAAAATGATACTGATAGTATAATACATATTCCAAGTATCGAAATGCACGCCATCTCGTCGTGATTAAATATTTCGACATAATTACCGTAGGCCTATAGTACAGTGGACCTTTAGTTCAATACCATCAGTGGACCTTTCGGTAAAATAATACTGTAATAATAATAATAATAATAATAATAATAATAATAATAATAATAATAATAATAATAATAATAATAATAATAATAATAATAATGTTATAATGAATATTTATTTCGTTCTTCTGATAGGCCGAATTATCGGAATTATCTAATAGTTAATAATAGGCCTTTTCCATGAATCGGTAGACAACAAAAATAAGATAAGAATGTTATTTAAATATCACCCTATTACATTAATTTTTTTGAAAAAGTTCTTACAAGACTATTCTACACCACTTTTAATGATTGGGGAAAAAAGTAAAAATTTTGTTTGGCCTCTGAAATAAAGATAGAAAAAGAAGCGCCAATCAAATACTCAGTAGTCAAACAGCCATAGTACAGTTACTGTAGAGTTGTACTAGACTAGTACTCGAGTTACCATGACCATCTCCATGGTTACGTTATTTGTTAATTAACAGTCCCAGATCGTGGACCCGTCCATTCTACAGAATGGGAGACCTGTGAGATGGATCAAAGGGTGAGCTGCGTGATGGATCACCAAAGCATTATCATCAGAGAGCGTTATAAAACGAAATGATGATTAAATGTACCTGTCTGAATATAAATAAAGAAAGCAGCGCCTTCAGTAAAGAATTTCCCACTGCCCGACTTTTGATTTATACCTCCACTACATGATTAATTATATCAAAGATCAAGATGTGTATAAGAGACAGGCATCACACCAAGCGAAGTGACTGAAGAAAATGCCTTTTCAAACGACGGCCAGATTGGGAAACACACAAAGAAAATAAAATTTATCAGGTAGTGTACCTTAACTTAAGTACAGTATTTGTCTTTAAAAAAAAAAACGCTTAAAAATGGAACGACGT